GTCTTAAAAAGTCTTCTATAGGGACTAACTTCTACTGTATGCTTGCCAACAAGATGCCAAAGGTGGCATTAAAGATGAAAAGGGATAAATGCTATTATATTCACAAATCAGTGAACACTTTTTCCACAAAATAAATTAATTAATAGTTTGTGATCACCTAGATCTTTTATAAAATAGAGTTTTGGATGCTGACGCCACACCCATATGATTGAGTCATATAATTCATTAAGGGGGTGTTTGTTTCAAATCCTAGATTTGAAATCTATAGGTAATTTGTTATGGGTTGGGATTAGGGAAGGCAATTTATGCCCATACCCATTTACCCATCTGGCCCACCCATTATTTGCCCACTCAAAACCCACCCATTTAATTAAATGGGTCTAAATGGGCGGATCCATTTTACATCTAATTAAACGGGTGCTAAATGGGCATTCTATAGCCGCTAGAGGTGTTAAATGGGTGGGTATGGGTTTTAAATGGGCGGGCCATAAATGGACGGGCATGTTTTGCCCATTTACCCATTTATGGCCCATTTAACATTATTTAAATGGGCGGGTTTTTGCCCGCCCATTTAATAAACGGGTCGCCCATTTGCCCATTCTCAACCACAGCCTCCTCCGCCTCCTCCTCCGCCGCCTCAAGGCCCTCAACCGCCTCTCGAACCCCAACCGTAATTCCTCCTCCTGAAATCGGATCTCGCCGCTTCTCCTGCTCCTCATTTTCGCCGCCTCACTTGTAAGTTCTTTTCCTCAAAACCCTAAGGCTAATTTGGGTATTTTCTGAATTTTTTTCTGAAATTATGGGCATTATGTTCCAGTTTAGTTAGTAAATGGCTAGAATCACAGTAATCCATTGATGTTATGTTTTTAATTCATACACTGAACTCTAGGATTTGGATATTCATTATGGTTAAATTCTTAAGGTCATAAGTTTAATTGGTTGTTATGATGAATTCTCTCAATAATATTACAAAATTTTCCGAAACGCCTTGGTAAATACACTGAACTATTGGATTTGGATACTCTTCATGGTAGTTAAATCTGTTAAAATCATAACTTTAATGGGTTATTATGATGCATTCTCTAGATGAAGATTACAATTTTTTCCAAAATGACATGCTGAATACACTGCACCCTTGGATTTTGATACTTTTCAGGGTTCAATTCTTTAAATCATAACTTTGCCAATATACAGTTTTTCATTTGGATTTTCAATGTAAATCTTTTGGTGAGGCACATGACATATCCAAGCTCTAGGAATTAATAGTTGGAGGTTTTAAGCTTCTCCCACAAATGTTATGTATTTTAAAAATCAGTAATGATATCCCACAAATGTTATGTATATGCTGTATCTATCTGTTTTCATCTGGTTTTTTCTTTGCTTGTGTAGTACGTGCTTGAGATTGAAACCTGACTGTTTTTGCAGCACAAGCATGGAAAGGGTGAGAGCTCAAGTTGTGGGGAGGAGAAAAAGGCAAGAGATGGAGGCACAAATGAATTGAGAGAAGGCAACATGCGATAAGTTCTACTTTTGACATTTGCTTTCTACAATTAATTAGTATGAGTAAGCAAAATTTTTGAGCTTTTGCCTCACTTTTACACTACACGTACAAATACCAAGAAGGATTTCCCTTAAATCATGAGATTACAAATATTAAGTTCTTTATATATTAATACAGTTCCCATGCAGCAAATGTTCAAAAATTGAACAATTAACCAAGTGAAGTTTCATGATTTTTAGTTGCATTTGGAGCTGAAGTTGCTGTTGTTGCTGATGCAATTCTTGTTGCTGCTGCAGCTGTTGAAGATGATGTTGCTCCTCTAACCTGAAGTTTCAAAAATTGCTCCAACTCTGGCATATACTGGTTAACTGACTGTTGATGCTGCAGAGAACCTTGAATTTGTTCAATAAATGGCACAGACGAATTCTGACGAGAAAGCAAGCGCTGCTGCTAAAGCTGTTGTTGGTGCTGCTGTTGCTGCTGCTGTTGCTAAAGTTGCTGAAGTTGCTGAAGCTGCTGCTGCCGAAGCAGTTGCTGCTACTGCTGCTGCTGAAGCTGTGATTTTGGTTGATTTTGGTTGATTCTGTAATATGTTTATACTGTTTCCTTGCGTTGTGATTATTGTCAGTCGCAGCATTGTCAATTTGGGGGCTAAGATTTACTTTCTCGTAAAATCCCTCTCTTTTGATCTTTGTTTCCTGGTCTTTTCTTTCTTCTGTCATGATCCTGTTCATGCCTGAACATTTGAAAGATGGGAAATAAGTAGACTATGGTTGTGCTACTATTTTGTTTATAGACGAACTTACTACTCTTCTAGTTTATGATGGCATTTATATCAAGTTATTGATCTTATACAGATCCTTGCATACCTTGTGTTTTCTATCTTAATTCATTTAAATATACTCGCAATTTTGTTGTTATTGATCTTTTGGTTTTTGGTTTGGAAATTTGAGGTTAATTTTGCAAATGTGTGAGGTCTGTACTTTTATCCAGGCTTGTATATGGTTTAATCATGAATTTGTCTGCATTTGTTTATCTTTGTTTATGTTCCTATCTTTGTTAGTATTTTATCAAAAGCCCCAACAAGTTTGCAAAAAGCTCCCAAAAAGTTTGCAAAAAGCTCACAATAGTTTACAAAAAACCCCTAAAAGTTTACAAAAAACACCCCAAAAGTATTATATATATATATATATATGTACTATAGTTAAATGGGCAAATGGGCGACCCGTTTATTAAATGGGCGGGCAAAAACCCGCCCATTTAAATAATGTTAAATGGGCCATAAATGGGTAAATGGGCAAAACATGCCCGCCCATTTATGGCCCGCCCATTTAAACCCATACCCACCCATTTAACATCTCTAGTTGGGATTCCTAAAATTTTATTTGTTTCAACAATATTTTAGGATTTGGAATACTATAATTTGTAATATTTTTGTTTGTTTCAAACTTTTTGGAATTTGAAATCTTTAATTTGTCTAACGCTTTTGAAATCCACCCAACATCCCACCAAAAAAAGAGGATTTCACAAATCCTTAAATATAATATTTTTTTATTATTTGTTAATTTGATATTCTAAAATTTGTTTTGAAACAAACAAGTTTTATGGAATTCTAAAACCCAAAAAAACTCACTTTTTGATCCTAGAATTTGAAATCTCACCCAAATATGCAAATTTTTGTTAAAACAAACACCCCCTAACTAAATTTATAAGTAGAGGAGGGCCTTCCTTGACATGTAAACTATATTTTATCAAATTACGAGCTACTATCTACTTAAGTGAATATATGATTTTATCCAACTAACCTTTTAACCGTTGGCTGATAAACACTTGATTTGATGAGTTAGCATTATCTAACAATCTATCCAATTAAACATTTATCTTTTAATTACATTCAACGGTAAAAGGCTGGATGGATAAAATCTATCTATATATACTATATATCAAGAGAAGCCCCTCTTTTAGTTTGTTTTAGTTTGTGTGAGCCACAATTTTAAATTGTCAAGTCCGCCCTTAAGCCAAAAAATAGATCAAACTCAGTACATACAGATTGTTTGCCCGGAATAAATCGTTCTTAAAATCATAAGAAAACACAAATTGTTAACAAATTACACGAGAGCACCGACAACATACATGCGAGG